TATCAGGTACGCTGCTACGGATTACCAACGACTCACGGGGAGGGATCAAATTGTTGAACCATCCACTCATGCAACTTTGTGAAGGCATAGATTTATCGACAACCACAATCTCCCACGAAACACGGCTGAACACGGGGAACCAGCAGGGCCCGGAAGGCCGCGATCAGTCGTCTAACCGAAAGCAAACTCAAAGGCAAACGTCACCACAAAAAACGGTTAATGGCCGACCCGTTAACGGTCGGCACAAACTCCATTCCTACCACAACCTGTGCTAGCTCACTCTTGGTTACAAAAGCACTATCCTGCATGTATACTAATGCCCAAGGCCTCATAAGCAAGTTGGTAGAATTGCGTCACCGTTTGGCTTCGGAGCCTCGAGACATCATAATGATCGCCGAAACCCGGCTGAGCGGCGAAATCACAGACGCTGAGATTGCCATACCGGGTATGTCAATTCTCCGGAACGACAGAACGGGCAAGGGCGGTGGTGTGCTCATTTATTTCCGAACGAACCTTCGTAGTGAGCTCATAGACGATCCCCAGACTTGTGTCACCGACGACCTTTGGTGCAAACTGTGGTTGGAACGCAACGACGTATGCCTTCTCTCTGTGGTTTACCGACCACTGAAATCCACTCCGGAAAGGGACAACAGACTTATCTCCGCTTTTCGCTCCGTGCTTAATCAGAAGTACAGCCACATCCTGGTTGCAGGAGATTTCAACACCCATGACTTGGAAAATCCAGCATCCGAGACCGAAGTGTTCAAGGCATATTTGCAAGAGCTACTCTCTAGCACTTTCTTGTATAACAACGTCACCGTTCCAACCAGGTTCAGAACAGGAAACAACCCATCGATATTAGATTTAGTGCTCACTAACGAAAAGCTCATGGTCAATGGACTAAAGGTGGGCAGTCCTTTGGGCCGTAGCGATCACGTGACTTTGCAGTTCGATTCCATCTGCTACGCCGAATATCCAGCTGCGGAGCTCGAAACGAGGCAATCTGTTACCCATTGCCACGTTCTGTCTAACCTAGTTGAGAATACCAGTTGGACGTTTCTAGCTAACTGCACCCCAGAACTAGCCTGGGAGACATTTGCGAACACCATCACGTCACTAGTCATAGAAGCCTCAACACCAAAAGTTTCCCAACATCCCCTGCACAGCGAAATCATTCTTGCGAAGCCGGACGCGAAAATGCATGACTCTAAGGGATCGGGCATGGCGCATGTATAAAAGCAACCCCAGCCCAGAAAACTGGACGGAATACGTTTCGCATCGCAACTACTGTGTGCTTTTGGTTCGCGAAGACAAGAGAACGCATCAGCAGGAGCTAGCCAAACGATTCTGTTCGAACAAAAAGCTTCTTTACAAACATGTGAATGGACTTTGCAAGGTGCAACGGGGAATCCCACCACTTAATACGACCAATGGGTATACACATACTGCGAAGGGGGCGGCCAAAGCATTACGGGCCCAATACTCCCCAATCTTCAAGGTGTACAAGCCTCGACGTATATTCCGCCACTAGTTACCCCACCGTCCGTTTTATCCAACGTCACGTTCAATGCAGAAATGGTGCTGCAAAAGCTGCTATCCTTGCGTCCACATAGCTCTCCCGGGGCCGATAACATTCACCCGAAAACATTACAGGTAGCTGCCATCCACTTGGCCGAACCACTAGCTGCATTTTTTCAGCGCTGTTTCCATGAGAACATCGTACCTTCGAGGTGGAAACAAGTTGTAATAACGCCCATATACAAAGCAGGAAGTCGATCGGATCCTGCCAATTACCGCCCCGTAACGCTTCTGCCTGTGATCGCCAAAGTCATGGAAGCGGTGGTAGCAGATGCGTTAATGGGATACTTGGAAAACTACGGCATAATTGCGCCAGAACAGCATGGGTTTCGTCAACATCGTTCATGTACGACGAATCTGCTGATAGCTCGTGACAACTGGACCGAGACTGTCGATGAGGGAACAGGAGTCGATGTTGCATTCTTGGACTTTTCGAAAGCCTTTGATCGCCTGGATCATCGAATCCTGCTCATTAAACCTTAACTGTACGGTATCGGAGACCCGTTGTTAGGATGGATCGGTAACTTTCTCTCTGAACGGCAGTTAGAAGTTAGAGTTCGATCATCCTTTTCCGATCCGATTCGAGTGGGATGCGGCGTACCGCAGGGTTCGGTACTTGGGCCTCGTTTGTTCCTGCTTTTCATTAACGATCTAGTAAGAGTTATTACGCCGAAATTCTTACTCTTCGCGGACGACCTCAAGGTTTGGAGGGCGATAAAACGATCGGACGACCATGAAGTCCTACAGCGTGACTTGAATGAGGCCTGGAATTGGTCGGTGAGAAACGCCCTGCCGTTTAATGTGAACAAATGTCGCGTTGTTCATATCCGCCATCAACAAGTCCACGTCTACAAGCTTGGGGCACACGATCTGAAGACCACCACTCAGGAACGCGACTTGGTTGTGCTGGTACAGGAAGACCTCGGGTGTTCCAAACAGGCAGATTCCGCTTCTAAAAGTGGAAACCAGCACGTTGGACTCCTGCGAAGAGCATTTGGAATTTTGGTTCCATCCATCTTCTCTTTGATGCTGAATGCCTACGTGCGTCCTCACGTCCAATATGCAATCCAGGCCTGGCAACCATGGCTAAAACGTGACCTTGTAGCGCTTGAGACCCCACAGCGTCGAGCAACGAAAATCGTCAAGGGCTTGCGCCACACTCCTTACCAGGAACGACTGGAGATACTCGGAGTGTTCAGCGGACGGTACCGGCGACTTCGTGGAGACCTCATACTAGTGTACCAGATATTGAGCGATCCCAGTCACGTATGCCGCCACCTCTTGAAGCTCAGCCCAAACACTAACCTTCGCGGTAACAGTTTAAAGCTGAGCCATCAGTACAGCCGTCTAGACTGTCGGAGAACCTATTTCTCCCTCCGGGTCTGCGGGCCCTCGAACGCCCTTCCAAACTCAGTTGTTTGTGCCCCCACATTAGATACGTTTAAAAAACGATTGGACGTCGCACTGAGCCCCCTGCGCTTTGTTTTATGAACGAAAACGCTTGTATATATTTAGGCTGACCAGCCTCTTTGGATTTATACCCCAAATTCACGGTCGTAAATCTGTGCGAACCGGTGAGTACTCCATTTTTATTTGCTATCATCACCAACGATAACAATTTCTTAGCTAGTTTTGCGTCGTGCCACTTTATCCCCCTAAAACTGTTATACTTCTATATTTATCTCATTGACGCTCCTTACTTCAACCACTTATGTGGTTTGCTAATCTGTTAGTATTTCTATTGCCAACCTGCGGGACTCGTTAAGTGTATGCTTTTTTACCCGTCATATACCATTGTTCCATTGTTCCATTGGAAGGTGAATAAAGAGCAAGCTATCCAGTATGATGATTCTAATTGAGCTGCCAGTGTGAAGTTATGGGCTGTGACTTTATTCGGTGGCGAGTCACATTCGCTAAGTTGCAGTGTTGTTAAACGGACATTTGTGGCTTTTTATAGGGAGAACGCTTGCCAGGCGAAAACCCACCACGTCCTGAAACACTGCCGCCAATCCATGGAATGGCAAGTTGTAACTGGCTATGTTTCTTGTTGAACGTTTTTTGCTCCGTTATTCGCAGTCAAGTTGCGTCCCAATTTTCTGCTGACTGATGCATTATGCGAGTGGCCATTGCGTGCCTGGGTCCTCTCCTGTGCCAGATCGGTAGGTCAGGAACTAAGCACTCTTTCTGGATATGATGTGTTGATCATCTGCAGAACCACGTGAAGTCTCGAAGAATAAACGTTGAAATATGTTGAAGTCTTGAAGGATAGGATAGGTTCGGAAGAAAGAATCGCAGATCCCCGGGGTATATAGTGAAATTGCTTAGAAATAGGGGAAACCACGGCCATTTGAGCGGTCAAAGCGGATTGAGGAGCTTAGAATGACCGATTGTTCAAGCTTTGTATTGGCAGGAGAATGTGCCTTCCGTAGTCGAAAGTCCTCTAGTCAAGAGATATGTGGAAGAGGTATTGTTAGGTAAATTGAACTCAGTGGTTCATGCCGCGGAGGAATTGTATCAGTGCAAGATATTGAATGAGTTGTCCGGTTAGTAAGTTGTAAAAAAGTTGATAATTTTCCGCTCATGTCCAGGTAAAGGAACTGTGTGCCTTGTATTGTTGTCGAAACGGAGGACAATTCCTTGTGTGCATTTCCAAATGCAACCAATAACCTTAACGGGGGTATCCCAGCGTCCTGAAATTTTATTAAACGCGCTGCTAACGTGTTAAGTTTTAGTTGCAAGAGAGGAAACTTACGTTGCAGTAAATTAAACGTCGGTGAACTTTTGAAAACCTACTTGTAGTGAACTCTCGGAGAAGCTGATGTCAGCAGCAACGATAGGTGTCTCCAAACTGTAACTACCAACGGTGCCCTAGTAACCGTCTCTAAGGGAGTCATCTGTAAATGCTAGTACTGGCAAAGGTTGCGGCGTTCCAAATCTTGCATTTCGCCGACATCGTCCAACGAAAAATCAAAACCTTGAGTTCCTGGGTTTTTGTCACATGCAGCGCCAGAATAGTTGCGTGACGCCGGGTACTTGTGTTATTGGCCTACTTCAGTGCACTCAGGCACATTTCAAGTGCGCTTAGATCACGCAGTATTCGGCGATTTGGTCAATAAGCACCGATGAGGGTGTTTACTGCTTCGTGCAACGTACCAAGAATGCGCCCTACCTGCCGCTGAATTGCTGCCAATGCTGATAGAGAGAGCGTCACATTTTCTGTAAAAGGTTGTTATCGTTACCGAATAAGCAAAGCAAGCTCACCAGTGGCCTGCACACTATTGTACACAATGGTGGGTGTAGCTCCTGCTGGAGTTCCTACCGAAGTTGACATTTGTGCTTGCAATACCTGGCTTACCTTTGTGAGGTGGTGCATTCGCTGTGATGTCCGTTAACCATTAGGAGGAGATGCAACATGAGACGGTTGTCATAACAATGCGTGTACTGCTTGCAGTGCGTGTGGATGTGCAGACATCGGACATTAACATGCCGCGCACATTTTCAGGGTGGTGCGTGGGGAAGTTTGTACTAGAGGTTATTCCCAGTATGGAAGTACGCGGCGCATTTCCAGGTTCCGCTGCGCCTGAGCGGAGTACATTAGAAAATAGGAGCGTCATCGTCCTCCTTCGTTAAGAGTTTTCCGAGGTCCGTCTAAAAAAGTGTTGGACTATTAAACGTACATAACTTACATCAGTCAATTCGGTGAAGACCCTATAAATACGGTGCCATCTGCTTCATGTTCCTCTTAGCCTTCGATAATGCACAATTGCATAGTCACCGTCTTTTGAAAAGTAGCTACAAGATTATGGTAAGTGGCATGCCATACTTGTGCGGCGTCGTACCTCCACATGATGTACGCGGTCAGTAGGTTTAGTTTGCAGATTCAGTCGCACATCGTGCGGGTAAGCATGGACAGCAACTGAGTATATGTTTGCCGGCTAGCCGTCTGTCAACAGCCACGTGCTGCTTAAGACGGACTTCTGAAACACTCCTGCTCCCTGCAACCTCAGCAAACTACTGCGATGTCAACATTATAGTCTGGTAAACAACGTCATTAATACATTTCGTAGGTGTCTATGCACACGCGACTTCAGAGATCATGCTGAGCACAAAGATTGTATATTGTACGATGGGAGAAAATGTGCTTATGGTGAAAGCCAAATGAATTACTAGCTAAAGATGATATACAGCATGAGCGCTTAAGAGTTTGACTATTAAGTGAACGTATGTAACGCTGGAAGCAGGACGAAGCTGTTGGCCAGCACTACTTGTCCACAAGCACATTGGCCTCAAACAATGTGATGGTATCCATATCCATTCTGTAGGGTCGTCTGAGGAGCTATGCATCTCTAAATTAATCATGCGGGGTGTAAATCTAAAAGGAACTGAGGTATCCCCAACCTGAGCTACTTACATGAGAACACGGTCTCTTTATTCCCTACGTATTCTGCTCATTTCCACTGCCTTACTGTGTCCTACAAGCGGTTACCTTATTATATATTTATTCTTCGTACATAAACGTTGACGTAGCTTTGAGGTTTCCAAGTCATTCATTTTATTAAGTTACCGTGACATTGCCCAAATACTCGCTCCGCCGCAGGCTGTACAGTTTTACCCACTTGCATTGGGATTGCAGTGCCTATTCCGAAGTCGTGTACCGTATTTAATATGCCTTATATACCACGGTTACGGGAAGATTCGTTTTATTCTTTTGCACAGACCGTAAATTAAGTCTAGCTTTATTTGCTGATAGTTTCTAGTGTAGGTTTCGCACGAGGTACTCAGTTTAACATTCATTTCGTTGGTACATGGTGCATGATACCTAAACAAACGGCGTGCATGTATTCAATCAGAAACTGTTTCACCGGGTTGATTTGCAAACCTTCATATGCAGTGGGCTAGTACGTTACTATACACCTGAAAGGCTTATTAGTACATAGAGGACAAGCAAGGCATGGAAAGTTAACTTTTCCTTCAAAGTATGCACCAAGCTGCCCACATTTGCCACAGCCTCCGAATCCAGAAAGCTACATGCGGCATTTCACTAAGGCATGCGCGGATGCATCCCATAAAACGGCAGACAAATGAATCTTATTGCACGGTTCGTTGCCAGTAACTAGAAACCCTTTCTTTGGAGCCATTGATAAATCACGAATTAAAGGAATTTGGGCACATACGCCGGCTATCCAACACTTCAGTAAATGCCAAAAGGGAAAGGTGTGGACAACACATGAGCAATTGGCGGACAAAGAATTAGCCACAACTGACGATTCGACGATTTAAACGGCTTGCAACAGTCAATGTTTAGCTGAATACAACAGCTTGTGTCTAGAATTTTGTAGGTCCAACTATACACAGCGTATTCTGTCAGCCAGTCTCAGGTGCCCATTAGTTCCTGGTAGCTAAGCAATTTTCTGTGTATCACGCGGTGTTTGCAATGTCGTGCCTTACTTAAGAGACAAATCGCTGGTGTGCCTTTGTAGCAACTTTAACTGCTGAATACAGGCGCCGCTTGGGGTCAACATTTGATCTTCTATTCGCGCAAGTCGTATTTGAAGGTTTAAAGTTGGGCTCCAAGTGACACGCATGGCGAATGGCACACTTGCGTTCCTTAAGGAAGCGGTAGCAGTTCTTCCTTATATACTGCTTAATGAATTAACAAACCATGTCTAGCATTTCGTATGCTTTGACCGAAATCAAGAAAGTGTTGGTGTGAATGCATACAGGTGTGCAATGTCAACCTCCACCGCGTCAGCTATTTAATGGTACATTAGTTTAATATTTGGTAGCCAGCAGAAAGGAAAATCTTCGTCAACCCCATCTTCTCTTGATCACTGCAGGAATCACGTGTATTGATGCGGCACACTGTTCCATAAGAGAGCATTGCTGTCACAGTCAACACAACAAGGTCCATGCTTGTCCAGCAAATAGATGTCTAGCACACATTTTAAACTGCAATGCCTGCGCAATGCAGGCTAGCTTAGGTAAACTGTTTTAGTAATTCAGCACATGTGTTGAAAAAGTGAGATCAGAGAGAACACAAAGCCTTCTTGGTTTACACAGTTTCATGCCGTGACCTCGTGCCAACCTAGCAGTACAATGTAGAAAGAAGGCTTGTACCTCATACCTCATCTCACGTCGGAGAATACGTCGCGTGTAAATTAGGTCCCCACGGCAACCACGACAATCCAGGAAGAACAAGTTCATCCTTTGATGGCGAAGAGGGTACGACAGGTCCCTGAATCTCACGATGCATTTCGATCCCCGATGCTGTACCATCTCTATTACCAAACATTAGCTTCTCTTGAGAGTATATGATGCTGGCAAACTGTACACCATAATTGGTCGAACATGAGATCTGAAGTAGGATCGAAATATCTGGAGTCACTTGGGAAGATTATCTCTTTATGGATAATAACAGGCTATTAGCAGCGGCAACTTGCTTTTATGGTCCTGTGTAGTTCATGGGTTGGGCGAGAAAAGATCCCCATGGTCCTGCTCTAAGGTTGATTTCCTGAGCAATATGTAATTGGCAGATCGGTTTGGGCTCGAGTGACCGGTAAATACTCCCGAGTCCAACTAAGAAATGAAGTCCAGACATTAACTACGGTACATTTAAACAAATAGAGAAATACATATTCACTTCTTCTTCAGGGCTAGTTCAGTCCTGTAACAACATGGTCTTTGCACAGTTACACAAGGAAACAGCGTCAACGCACTTGTTACAGTACAGCAATGCCACACAACGCAGATGCAGAGGGAAAGATCAGGGTACTTTTTATCGTGTCCGAAAGCTTATCGCATTGGTCCACGGCACGGCGCACAGGAATTTTAAACTGGTCAGTGCGTCCAACGGGAATGAGGTTAACGCATCACGGTGCGGATATGGGATCTATTACCAAAAGGGGCCTGGGTGCCCTTAGGGGTAGTAACACGGGGTGGAAGTGCATAACCATCACAGCGGGTTAGGGATGAGAGCACTTCCAAGTCGAGTGGGCCTTTAAAAGGAGCATGACAAACATACCAAGGGCCTGTATACCTTTGGAAACAGTAGCGCGGGTTGGAAGGGCACAATTGTCACAGCGGGGTTGGGAGGAAACCAGGCAGAGTTGGTTAGGGAAAAGAATAAATACATAGTATCTTGTAGGAGCAGGCCTCAGATAAAGTTATGGGGAACAAGTCTAAATATCATGGTTTGAGTTGCAAGTAAAACGTGGAGCTTTGCGAAGGTAGTCACATGGAGTAGACAAATATTGGGTTAACCGGGATTTCGGCAGAAGTCGCAGATAGTGTGGTTGTCTGACTACGGCCTTGACTTGCGGGCCTCGGTTTTTGTTCTAACTCTTCTGCCTACACAGAACGTTTGCAGGTCCCTGAAGATCTCCATGCTTGTATGTGGGTCTTACAGTACCAAGTTTCCAAACCCATTTTAGATACCCGTGAACTAGTGAGCGCGGAAAAGTCAGAAAACTGGAGAAGCCATGTGTTACTATAACATCTTGAGAAACAAAGGTGCAGGTCCTTCGGAACTGGTGAGGAATTCGAATTTAATGCAAGAAGTAATCGCATAAAAAGTCGTCACTGAGCTCAATATGCTTAAGAGTAGCGGGACGGAGGACCCAAAGTCACGGGATAATGAAGTTACGAGCGATATAAGGGTTTAATACTGCAACAGCAGGAAGCTTTGCTTACGCTACATGCTTATACAGTAAGGTATCATAATGGCTAGTCCAACAACCTAAGTGGTGCCAGCTGTTTGATTTGGGTTTAATACGTTGTAATAAATATTTAGGCGGCAAGTTTTAGGACGTGTTAAGATTTAGCCTGGGTAGCGTTCTCTATAAAAAGCCACAAGTGTATGACTATCAACACTGGACGAGGCAAATGTGACTCGGACGTAATGACCGACGAGGACCTACATGGAGCATGGCTGTATCCCAAAGGACTTAACTTCACTCACCTCCACGACTGACGTCCCTTGTGGGCAACTGGACGCTGTCTTTAAACTCCAAAAAATTATACGTAATCTGAAAACTCCAGGCATAGAAAATTTGCTCACCTAGACGCTCAACATGACAACTTTCGTAACACTCCCATCCTCAACCGGTCCCAGAGATATGGCGGCCTTAACCAAGCTATCTAATCAGCAAAGAGAGGAAATTGGAAGTCACGCGACTGCGGATAACTAAGCAAAAATCTGTCGGCAAGCTGCTTTGCTAGTCGTACATTACAGTTCAAAATGCTTTACGGCAGTGTTCCAGGACCGGCTGGGTTCCGCCTAGCAAGTGAGCTCTTTATAAATCGACACAAGCGTCCATTTAACTACACTGTGACGTGGCGGATATGACACGCCATTGCCGGAATTCACTGTTCAGAACTAAGTACTGGCAAAGCGAGTAGAGTTATAGCTCAAATTT